CCTGTGGGTCATGACTCCTTTGGGGGTTGATCACAGGGGTTGCCCAAATACATCCTGCATATCAGATATTTACATTACGATTCAGAACAGTAGCAAAATTACAGTTATAAGTGGCAATGAAAATAATTTTATAGTTGGGTTGGTCACCACAACATGAGGAACTGTATTAAAGGGTTGAGGCATTAGGAAGGTTGAGAACTACTGATCTAGAGGCACAGGAAACCAAGTGGCATCTGCAGCCAGATGTAAACACCTGTCCTGAGCAGTGCTTATGTGTCAGACATACATATATACACACTCTCCTTCTCATTCCCAACCCCCCTCTCTCTCACACATACATACCTGCAGGTTTATAAACACAAAGGCTCTTCTCTGTCTTGCGCCTCTGCCTGGAGAGCATTTTCCCTTAGCCAGACTTGAAGGCAAGGTAGGCTGGAAGTATTCTTGGCAGGTCAAAAAAGGAAGGAATAGGGGCTTGGAGACGGGGCGAATAAGAACAATGCTGATCTGTAATCACACTTCCTGACTGCACACCGTGTGCCAGGAGCTGTGCACTGCCTCTTTACGAGTCACCTGACAAGGTGTGCACCTTAGTCTGACTGTACCAACAACAAGCTGGGGCTGAGCAACCTGGCCAAAGTCACAGAACGGGTATGAGGACACATACTAGGGTACTCCGTAGGGGCAGCTGCTCAGAGTGGCTGACACAGAGACTTAGTACAGCAGGATTGCAAAAAGTATAGGCTGGGATCCTGGCTCTGCCCTTGGTCACTGGGTGCCCTTGGGCAAGTGACTTGCTCTCTCTGTGCCTCAGTTTCCTCATCTCTAAAACAGAAGATAACGATAGCACAGTAAGGCCTAAATCGATGGTTGTGCAAGTTCTTGGAAACTCTGATTTTAAGAGAAACGATGTATAACGAGACCAATTTTACCCAATGCTAATGAGTATAAATGAGAGTTAAAAATCCTATGGCATATTTCTGGCCACACAAACATTACCAGACTTTTAAACACCCAAACACTTCTAATATTTAACACTGAAATAAATGTGAACTATATATACATTTAAGACAAAGTAGTAAAAACAAGTAAGATAATTATTACTCAATTATTGCAGTTCAGGGGGTGAGTGGCTGGAGCTTATTCTGGCAGCTCAGGGTACAAGGTGGGAAACAGCCCTTCTGCACTCCACCCCTTCCCCCACATCACCTAGCACACACTTCTCTGGGATGTGGGAAGAAACTCAGCCACCTGAAGAAAGCCCACACAGTAGGAGGAGAACACTCACGCCCCCAGCCGGGAATCAGTTTTGCTTTTCTCATCAATGTTATAATGAAATGACATTATTTGAGGACCTGCTGTACGTACTTCTCAGGATCCTGTGGGATTAATACCTATAAAAGCCCACATGGAGATAGTACCTGGCCCCCAAGTAAGGCTAGCAGATGAAGACTGTTACAGCAATAATAATAATTAGTATTAATTAGCTTGAACTGCAAATTGAGCTCTCTACCCTGACTTGTGCCCTTCAGAGACTTAAGGGGCTCAAGGCTAGCCCTAGAGGCTGGGAAGCTCTGACCTACCCACATTCTGTTCCCCTGTCCCTCCTGGGATGTCTGGGATGGGACAGAAGCCATTCCCAGTGGCTGGGATGTCTGAGAAGCTGAGGCCTCCAGAAGCAGGCAGGGGGATACCAAGGGCTGGCCACTCATGCTGGCTGCACTGGCCATGATAAGGGCTTTGTCTGGTGCCAATCTCTACTCTCCCTGCTGCTGCCCACTGTCCCTGAGTGCTCCTAGGCCACAGCAGTGTCACCAGAGAGCTTCCTGCCAGGCCCTGCCAAATGGTTAAGATGCCTGCCTTTCATCCATGCCCCACATTCCACAGGGAGCCCTTTGTTACAGCCTTGGTGCTCAGTGGCCTCCAACTGAGACCTGAGTGCCTTTCTGGCAGAGTTCAGAGCCAAGGCTTGAGCTGAGGGAGAGAACTGAACTTGGACAGCACCTGCCCTCAGAGTCTGCCAGTGCCCTGGAAGCTCCTAACAAAGCTTTTGACACAAATGAGCTGAGTATTTTTCACCACAGGGAAGGGCAGGGGGTGGGGGAGAGGGGGCTGGGCAGGAGGCCAGGAGGCCAGCAGCCTGATTCTGAACAGTCAAGGCTACTATGGGCACCTCCCATTTCCCGAAGAGATCAAATTGACAATGGGTGTGTCAGTGGGAAGAGATGACATCTTTAACCTAGCATGGTGCTTAGGAAGGAAGGATGAATGGCATCATCACCCCAGGTATGGGTGCTGTGGCCAGACTAAGTTCAAACCTTGGCTCTATCATTCACTGCCTGTGTGACCTTGGCAAATTAATTCATCTCTGGGTGCCTCAGTTCCTCCCCTCAGGATGGGGAGGTGAATGGCTTCTGGCTCATTTGGGCGTGTGGCTGACAAGTAGCAGCGAGGATGGCCTCTCTTGCAGAAATGCCTCTGGTCTAGTGTCTCGACTAAGGCAGCAACAGTGCTGTCATAGGAGCTCAATTTATTGAAGGGGACTTCTCTCCAGTACAGGGCAGAACTGCTGAGCCTGCATCCTCGGAGGGGGGTGGGTGGGATGACGGGGAGACGGCCCCCACCTGTGCTCCGGGGAGTCCCTTACACAAACATTTGCCGATGGGTGCATTTGGGCCTGTCGATGATTGTCAATATGGACAGGTTCTCTTTCTGCACATTAGATTTGGGGACGTATTGAGTTGTAAGATTGCCACTGTGTATTCAGCCTTCATTGCTCTGATTTCACATTTGCCTCGGCTCCAATGTTCTCCAGCCTAAGACTGAGGGTCCAGCAGGTGCCAGACACTGGGCCAGGTACACGGCACCTAGACAAGAACTGATCACTAACAGAGATGAGGACTACACAGCCTCTATGTGGGGAGGCACAAGTCCATAAGGGAACTGGAAAGAAATTAGTTACAACGTGGTAAGAAAGTACAGAAACCGCAGAAGTGGAGAGCAGAGGAGGGAACAATTACTACTAGCTGGGGAGGGTGTGGCAAGAGGAAAGGCTTCCTGGAGGCGGTATCATTTGACCTAATCTTGAAGGCATTCACTAGGTTAAAAAAAATCCAGGACAAGGCATTCTAAGCAGAGGGAACAGCATGTGCAAAGACAGAGTCCTGCTTGCAGCTGGGGGAAGAATGAACTTTGTGGGGGGTATGGTGGGAGGAAAGATGGGTCTGGGAGACCACAGGCACTGGGCAGTGAGACGTGACCCAAAGGTGTGGCAGGCTGGACTAGGTCAAAGGGCTTCCATGCTGTCTATTGCATTCTAAGCCCACTTGTGGCCTTGTACTGCTGCGACATTTCTTGGAAGCTCTTTTAGCCCCTAGCAAGGCCCATGGGTCAGCTAGAAAATTCATATCTCCATAAAGGAAACCACTCCCGTGAGTCCTTCCAAATCCTGGGAATGGTTTGGCAGCTGGGCCTCCTTGGCCAGGACAGGGAATAATCACTCCTGGCTCCAGTTCCATCTCTACACAGATGAGTAGGGTGGGAGTGGGGTTTGCAGCAAACACCCCAGGTGATACCCTGGGCCCTGAGCCACCACCCATAGGAATGGGGACAGATGGAAGGAACAGTGGCAGGTCCATCTAGGAAAGCACCTGAGAGCCGTGGATCTGAGGAGTGAGGAGGAATATGTGGAGAAGTCCGAGCACTGTGTGTGATGCCAGAGACAGGATCCTTGCCTGCCACAGAGCCCTGTTTTCCTGGGCAGGAGGGAAGAAGGGCTACACCAACAGCAGAGTGACCCATTACCAAGCCAGCGGGATCCAAGGAGGGTAGGAAACCAACAGCCTTCCTTTTGCTGTTGGGCCCAGACTCCAGTGGGGGCACTTTTGAGGTGGGTGGTAGGAGGTGTGGAGAGGGGATTCAAGTTCAAGTACCTTACTATATCCTGAGTGTGTGTGTGGGGGGTGCATGCTGGATGGCAAGAGGTACCTGCCATGCCTTTGCCTGGCACATGGTAAAGACTCAACCAATTCTGGTTGTCATCAGTCAACTAGTTGTGAGCATCGTGTCTGGGGTGGGTTAGTTCTGGGGCTCTCCCTTTGCCCTTACCTTCTGGAGAAGATCAGGCCCTGTGGGCCACTGTGGCCCTGTCCTACCCACCTCTCATGGTCCTCTGCTCCCTCCTCCTCGCTCATGCCAGTTTCTCCAGTTTTCAGACATGCCAAGTGTGCTCCAATCTCAAGGTCTCCTCTGCCCCAGCCCTCTGCTTGGGTAGCCCTCTCATGGGTATAAATGTCACCTATGCAGAGGGACCTCTCTAGACTGCCTGACAAAGCAATGTGTCTCAGCCTTGTCCACCTGAGCCCACAGCCCTGCATGGTCACTGTGGTGCCCCTAGAGCAAGGACATAGCTGTTGCTCTGTGTCCTAGTCATCAACTGAATGGCTGTCAAGGCCACGTGAAGCTGAGCAAGGCCTGTGAGGAAGGACCTGGCAGAGAGTGGACAGACCTCCAGCAGGGTCATGGATGAAATGTCTACTAAGGGGTGTGTGGATGGGAAATCAGTAAGATTGTGGTCCCCGGGAGGGACCTGCAGGGCAGAGTCTGGGGCCTGGACAGGGAAGGTGAGTGAAGGGCTGGTAGTTGCAGACTGTGGCCTTGCGCCCTGGTAGGAAGGGAGCAAGAGATAAGCACCCAAACCTCCTTCTTTTCCTGCTAGGACCTTCAGTGACCCAACCCAACTGTAAGCTGAAAGGGCATGGAGCTGCTCCTGATGTGTCCACACTGGTCAGTACCAGGTACAGAGTGTAAAGAGGGTGGGGGGTAGACCTGGTGGGGCTGGTGGAGGACACCCAGCACAGGCCAGCAGGGTGGACTTAGGGCCCCTCATGTCCCACTGGCCCACCAAGTCTGAGGCTGTTCTTGTGGAAGCCTCCCTCACCTTTTGCCTTCCCAGGGGGGCTGGCAATTCACCCGCAAGACAGCCCCATCCCCGCGCCTACCGTGGAAGTGCTCCGCTGTCTTCCGCCGCAGAGTTTGCAGGGTCACCTCAGAGTCAGCCCACTCCAGCACCAACCTCCGGCCGTACAAGTGGGTACTGTGGCACAGGGCATTGAAGGCTCTCTGCAAGGAACAAAACAGTGTATCAGCTAAAACAGAACTGAACCCCCTCTGTCCCAACCTCCCTCTGCCCTCATCTCAGATGTCAGACCCCAGGTCCTGGCCTTCTGACATCTGCTCTCCAGTGAGGGTTTGGGGAGCTGCTGGGTACATATACTTAATTAGAGGGTTATGTTCCCAGGGAGAGAGCTGCAAGTGACTGAGCAGTCAATATATCTGCCTTCTGGGCTGCGACTGGTGCCTGGGCTGAGGCGGCCGTCTTATTTGCCACGTTACATCCTATCTGTGGAGGGCGACCCCATTAGTGGGGCTCACCTCCCACTCGGCTGTCAGCAGCAGCGGCCACATGAGAAAGCCAAGCCCTGTCTAGCTGCTGGATGACAACTATGCAGGCTCCACACTGTCACTTGGTGCCACTGCCCTCTGTTGCCTGGTGATTCCACCCCCCATATTGCTCCAGAATCATCCCCTTTCCTGAGCCTCTGACCCTGGTATTAGGTTCCACACCCAGCTCGGCAGCCCTGGGGCTGGCACATGCTGTTCCCTTTCATGGTCTGCTGTTCCTGACTTCTTTATGCTGCCCAGTTCTCTCTTTTTGATTTTTAACAGCTTTATTGAGATATAATTCACAAGCTACACAGGCCACAGTTCTACAGTTTTTAGTATATTCTAAACTATACTAAAGAGTTGTGCAGCCATCACCGTATCAATTTTAGGACACTTTTATCACTCCCAAAGAAAACTCCACACCTTTTGGCTACCACTCCCTAAAGCCCCTACTCCCCAGCCCCCATCAACCACCAGTCTGCTTTCTGCCTCTATGGATTTGCCTATTTGGGACATTTCATATGGATGGAATCACATGATACTGACCAATGGCCTCTTAAACCTTTCTAGGTCTAAAGTTCAATGGTACTGCACAGGACCCTCTCCGACTTGATCAGCTTGTCCCAAAACACTCCCATGGGTCATAAAGACTGTGGAGCTCAGTAGCAAAGAACTTGGACTCTGGAGTCACCTGCTTCAAGATCTTGGGCAAGCTAAAGAAATCTTTCCAGCCTCAATTTTCTCATCTATAAAATGGGAATGCTCACATACGCCCATCTATGGGCTCTAGTGACAAAAAAAGTTACCATAGTGTCTAGAGCAGTGTGGAGCACACAGTAGTCACTCAACAGATGCTAGTTGTCGGTACAGTTAGTTGTGTTGTTACTGCAGACTCACCATGTCTCAGCAGACAGTGCCTGGGTAGATGCTGGGTCTACAGTCCCAGGACCAGGAGCTCATCTGTCAGCCCTAGGGAGAGACCATGGCTAGGAAGAGCCTTTCCCCTGTGTCTGGGCCACAGGCAGCACCAGTGAGTCCAAGGAGTACAGAGATCTGCCCCTTGTTTCTCTGATGCCAGAAGATGTCGCACTGCTGCTCTGCTCCTTACCCACAGCATGACTGTCACCATTGGATTGTATCCCCCATAAGGAGATGTGTGCAGGCCTAACCTCTGGACCTTCAAATGTGACCTTATTTGGAAACAGGCAGTTGCAGATGTGCTATAATTAGCTGAGATGAGGTCACACTAGAGAATGGCAGGCCCTACTCCAATGACTGGTGTGCTTAGATAGCCATGTAAAGACAGAGATGTGGAGCGAGCGCCTTGGGAAGATGGAGGCAGAGACTGGAGTGACACATCTACAAAGGGGGGATTGCCAAGGATCACCAGACATCACCAGGAGCCAGAAGAGAGGCATGGAACAGATCTCCCCTCAGAAGCAACCAACCTTGCTGACGCCTCGCCTTTGGATGCCAGTCTCCAGAGACCCAACGTTTTTTGGTTTAGGCTACTCTGGCTGTGGTGCCTTGCTGTAGCAGCCCAAGGGAGCTAATGCGGTGACCTTGAGTAAACGACCTGCCCCATGGCAAGCCTTGATTTCCTCCATTGTGATGGGGAACTATGGTAACTTATAGAAGTTGTGAGACTTACCCAAGGGCAGCAATCAAGTAGCACATAGTAAATATTCAATGAACAAATTAATCTGAAAGGATGGGGGGGCTGGGGCAAGCATCTTTTAAAAACTAGACATATGTGGCCGTACCTGTGGCTCAAAGGAATAGGGTGCCAGCCTCATATACCAGAGGTGGCAGGTTCAAACCCGGCCCCGGCCAAAAAACTGCAAAAAAAAACAACTAGACATGTGGCCAAATTAAAGGAATGCTTTTTTCTCCTCCATGCTGTTGTGAGAAGGGCCAGGTGCAGGAAAGTTTCTCTCCCCCCTGCTGTACCCCCCTTTTTAACTTTAATTTAAAAAGCTCTCTCTGACTGCCAGCAGAGCCTCTGCATTTTTTTCCATGCAGACATAAAAATGCATCTGGACTCCAATCCAAAATGGCCCATCCAGAGCTTTAAAACACACACGTTCTCAGCTGGCGAGGCACAGAGAAACGGCTTGATAGGGGAAGCTGAGTTTTAAGACAGGGGAGAGGAACTGGCAGGGTGTCTGGTATGGTGAGTATTCCATTCTGGTGCCAGGGTCCCCGAGGAGTTGCAGTCCTGGGGACACGGTGGGAGGGGTGGCTGTATCTGGTGGATGCTAGGCTAAAACTCAGAAGAGAATGACAGATCCCTGCTGAGAGGCCACAGGCCCTGCCTCTCTGATTCCCACAGTTAGATTCGTGTTTCTTGTCTTTTGAGGGAACACCAGTACTCCATTCTTATGCCACAGAAAGCCTGGGGAGGTCTCCATTCTCCATTCCATAGGAGTTGCTAAGAATTCCCTCTCCAGGCCCTCCTCTGACATCACCTTGCAAATTCTCATCTCCTCTGTCTGCACTCTCCTGGCATTTGGAACGGCTCTTCACAGTAAGAGGTGAGGTGGCATGGCAGAACACAGGGGGCTCTGCTGCTGAGCTACTGTGGTTCAAATCCCTGCCCCACTACTTAGAGCTGTGTGATCTTGGGCAAGCTGGTTAACCTCTCTGAGCTCAGCTTCCTTGTGTGTAAAAGACGCAGCAGCAAAGAATGAGCAGGATCCAGCCAAATGTGAAGTTTGACCCTCACAGCACTGTCTGGCATCTAGGAAGCCTCCCTCAGGCTGGCTGTATTATTATTATTGTTGTGATGTATGCCTCTACCTTTCATCACTGCACTAAAGAGCTGGGACAATGGGAAGCAGGACACAAAGCTCTTTTGTATTTGAAGTTACAGCACAATCCAGTGGTTCTCTAAAAATAGCAGAATTGCCCTGCCTAGCTCTAGTCCCTGCAGGTTAATACAAAATCAGTTTGCGTTCCCAAGCACCCACTGCCTTGGTGGCTGGAATGTGGCGGCCTCAAACTGTCGCAGGCAGTGTGAGGACAGTGATTTCAGGCTAAAATTGGCTTTGGATAATCCAGAGTAATTGTGTCTCATGAAGAGAGTATAAGGAGAGCATGCTACATGTGAGGCATCCTAGGAGGCAAAGGGAGTGGAGGAAGGGAGGTAGCCCACGCCTTTGGGGGCCGGCCCTGAGGTGCTCAGAAGGTTCTATACGGCAGAGGGAAGAGTGTGGGCCTCTCTGGCCTGAGGTCCAACTGCAGCTTCCTCCCTAGTCTCTCCATCTATGTTAGACCCCACTGAAACCCACCCCCACTTCCCTGGGGAGAAGGTGGGGTCAGCTCTAGGCATGGTGCTCCTCTGTTAGAGCGACCCAGGGCCTTGTGCACTGCAGGAGAGTTACATGGTCCTGGACCTTTGCCCTTCTCCAAATGCTGCTTCTGCCGTTTGTCCTTCCTTGGAGTCAAAGGCCTTCTCAGTGCAGATTATGGATCTCATAGTCCCACAGAACTCCAAGCACATGACTTCAATCTACTCTCAAGAACAGACACTATTCTCCCATTTCAACGAACAGAATACTGAGGCACTGGTCAAGGTGTGAATGCAGGTCAATGCCCTCCTTCCTTTTCTCTTCAGCCTCAGGGCCACCCAGGGAAGGCTCTGCCCCTCTTGAATAGGAGCAGCCAGGTGCAATCCCTGTACCCTGAGCACCTGGTCCCTGCCCCATATTGCCTATTGAGTCCCATCTCCCAGACTGACCTTGAACCACTGAGGCTAGGTGTACCTTTTATGAGCCTTGGCCTAGAGCTGGGACAGAGCACACTGAGTAAGTATTCATGGGGCATATTGTGGACATGGCTCCAGACTGGAGTGAAGGGTTAGATGTCCTGTCTCCGTTCCCTCCAAAGCCCTGCAATCTTGGTGGGGACAGCAGTGCATCCCACTCCAAGCACACAGCCTCTCACCATGCACACGAGTGGAATACTTGGCCTTTTGGTCAGGACAAGACCTGATACATACTTATTTGTGGGGCTGGCATTACTCCCAACACACATGGCTTAGGGACCTTATAGGATAGCAATAGTCACCCGTACCACTAAGACTCAAGAGACTGCACGTCAGATCCCTGAGCTGGCTTGCTGGAAAAAACCTAAAGATCCAGAACACAAGCCCAAGGATGCCTGAGTCTGGCAAAGACAATGGCACAGAAGCGCAGCCCCTCTGGAAGCCTTTCCACCATCACCTGATGGCTGGTGTTGGAAATCCTTGGTCCCCTATCCCCTCCTCTACGCTTTAGGAACCCACTCTATGTGCCATCTGACCAGGGCTCTTTCGGCCTGTTTTATCCTGAGGGGAGGCTGCAGGGAGAAGGGAGGAGGGAGTGGGGTGGGGTGCTCCTTGCCTGCTCTCCTCTAGGACCACATCCTGCTTAGGACCCTCCTCCATAGCCCATTGGTCCCTCAGCCCTACTCATCCCTCTGTAAACACCTCTTCACCGAGCGCTCTTCCTTTGAAGCATGTGGGGGTAGATTCTGCTTCCCACTGGAACTTCAACCCTAATGGCTACCTGAAGTCCCTCTGCCTTGACCGGGGGCAGGTGGGCTTCCTATTTCAGACAGCATGTCTCGTGCCTTGGCCCTGCTCAGAGAACTGCAGGCCCACCCAGGAGAGCTCTGAGCAGGTCTAGCTGGACTCC